ACAAAACTAATTTATCAATTATGCCCTCCAAATCACTGATATTATCAATTAGCTTAAAAGCCTATCTTTTAGGCAAATTTAATTACATTTCAGATTCACTAAAGTGATATTACTGTTCCATCTCAGAAGATGATATATTTTATTCTATATATATTAAATGTACAAGTTAAAAATTTATATTTTTTATAATAATTTATAATATTCAGGCTTTTTATTATTTAATTGAAGGCTTCTTTTTTGATTTTTTATATGCAAATCATTCCACCTTATATATTTGTAATTTGAATTCAATTTTTTCTAACAAGAATTCCACATTTTGTTTGGTTAAGATTTGATAATCATAAATTCTATCATAAATTTATTTATGTAGCTACTAATGAAGCTACCTTTTTGGAAAATAATTAGAACAAAAAAGTATTTTATTATTATGTAATATGATTCAAGATGTTGATAAAGTTGTAAATCAGTATGCTAGATATTTATTTAATTTGATCAGGTTCCCAATTACATTTTAGTTTGACTGTTGGCGTAATAAATACAATACTAAAATGAAGTCTTTATATAAAAAGAGGTTGTTATGAACACTAAGACACATTTTAAAAATAAATCTTTTTCCTTTTTATCTTAGGGATCATAAATTCTCAAGTAGACATATACCCATCAAATAAATTCAGATTTTCCATATAAAAAATATTTTTGAATCTTAGATCTTACGATTAAAAATATTTTTACAAATCAATCTTTAGAAAGCCAACAATTTCTTAAATTACAAATATTGTTCCTCTAATTTATCTATTTAAATTACCCTTTATCTCTTTTTTAATAATTTTTATTTTTAAATTGATTCAAAAACTTATTTATATGTGGTGATTTCTTAAATTGATAGTTAGGTTAGATAATAACTAACTAAAGTAATATTGGATCATTATAGTCAAAAGGAAATTTCATTTAATCGAAAGTAGCTTTAATTTTTGAAATCTTTATAATAATATACAGAGTCTAACATCGAACAAATTATCCTCTCTTTTCGAGATATCTAGCTTATAGAAGGATTGATGATAAGATCTAAGCACTTTGAGTCTTTGCAAAATAATCCTATTAATCAAACCTTATTATCGATGTAAATAATTAATTTATCTTTGTTTTATTACATATTCAGAAATATTTTATTAATATAAAACTTATACCTTTATCCTATATTTGATCAGGATCTTTTAAGGTAAGCATAAGATTTTAAAGCGATTTTAATAAAGGAATCTTCAGTAGAGAATCTTCTTGCATAATCTAATAAAGTGGGTTATTTATTAATTTATATATTTCATAAGAAAATTCTATCTATTATTTTTCTTTTATTGATTATTTTGGATTTTATATTACAAGAATTTTGTTGGATTCAAAAGTTGATTATACTTTAGAGTTAAGAATTTTTTGAAATATTCAGTACCACTCTTTTATAAATATAAAAAAATAAAAATTATCCTTCTT